AGCACGGGTGGAAGGGTTTTAGAGGTATACAGAAGCTCTCTCAAATCAGAAATGGCCGAAGCTTTAATTTGTACTCAGAACTGGTTGAGACCTACCTTTTACCAATTCAAAGACATGGAATTTAATGAGGATTATGAGATATCTGAAGATGCTTTACTATGTATTGCGTCTATTTTTCTTTAAGTGTAATCTTTTTTTCTGTTTGTAAAATGTTAAAGTTAAGGTTTTCTTATTATGTTTGTAATTTCTTATTATGTTTTAAATATATTTTAGGATTTGCTGAAACTTCAGTCGGAAGTGGAGCACTATCTTCTTCTCATACTCAGTCACAGATTTCGGTATGTACCTGAAAAACATATTCAGGTTCAATTCCCTTGTATTTTTGTTCATGTGTTTTTGTTAAATAAAACATGTATTCTTATGTTTTTCCTTATATTTGCAGCAAGCACTTTTTGAATTTTTTTGGAGTCATGAGTGACTCGTATTTTGAATCCATGTATAACCAACCGAACACTTTTTGAAAGAATATCTAGAAACTTTTGATGAATCCATGTATAACCAACCAAACACTTTTTGATGAATCCATGTAATACCGGGAGTTGTCCCTTTGGTGATGACTGTCACTTTGCTCACGAAGATGGAGGTAATAGAACTGGTTTTGGTTTCTTTTATGATTCTATTGTTTTGTTCTGCTCAAGATCTGTTTTTACATTTTTGGTACAAAATTACAGTTTTCCCAGTTTTCCCATTTTTGCAATATGTTGTACAAAATTACAAAATTGCAATATGATCTTTTATGATGTACAATGTATGGAGTGGTTTGTTCCTTTTCTTTCATTTTCATGTTTAGCAATGAGTATTGTACTATTATACTGATAATCAGAAACATTAGTCAGTCTCACTTTTAAATTCCTTTTCAGCCGTGCTACGCCTCCTGATTTGCAACAATGGACTGAGATGGTTGAGAGCTATGATAATCTTATTGAATCTGTTAGCACTATTTATATGTTGTAAAGGTGAGATGATCTTTCCTTTGATATACATTCTAAGAATGGCAGATAACAGTATCATTGAGGATCTTTCCCTATGATTTTTGTGAAGTTTTGAACTTATTCATTGAGGATTGAAGAATAACCAAATGTTAACTTTCTATTGACAAAAAATAACCAGTAACCATTTCATGTTCAGAACTTCAATCAGAATCCCTATTTTGAAGATTTAAAACTTTCAAAGATTTTTACCTTCCTTGAAGAAGGAACAACAAATATCACTGCTACCCCCATAAGATGGAAAGAGGGCAAGGTAAGACAATGAATTTCACTTTTTCTCCTTTATCAACATTTATAACTTTGATTTTGCATATTCTATTTATATGACAACCAATGTAAAAATTTGTCGAATCTACATGACATGAATCAGTTTAAATTTACTAAATGTAGAGAGAACAAAAAACTAAAATCAGATGAGATGTATTAAGGATGAGGAGGGAACACATGGGACATAAAGTAAGATACAAGATATTGGTCATAGATTCTAAATAGGGTAAATCAATTAAAGGATGTTTTGGTTGTAATCTGCAACAGAAAAATGTGGTATGAAACTGAACATTGGGTGGTTACACAAGACAATATAGGATTAGAAATACAATCATTAGGCATTTGTGAAGAAGAGCTGTAGAAAAACAAATGGGAAGGGTTTATCAGATCTTATGTTTGATAGTTTAAGGAAAACTATAACCAAATTATTGAGTGTGATTTACACATAAATGTTCTATCTTTACATTTAATAACTAATAATGACAAAATTTTATGTTGTTAGATTGTATTTTACTAATACATAATAACAAACAGGGAATACCCAATGGTGTCGATCATGAGAAGAATGGGAACAAACGGGCTCCTGTTGATGTCAGGTTGGTATCTTTAGCTTATCTTTCTCTTTTTGTACAAAAAATATTATAAACAGAGAAACCCATGTTCATGATGCATTGTAGATTCTAATCAAGTTACTTATTTTTGGCTTACCTTTATTTTTTAATCAAAATGAACTTCTGGAATTTGTTTTCTCCCTAAATTTGTCCATGATAAGGACCTCACGAGTTATATTCCTACCAATCAAATAACACATCAAGAAAGGGCACCTAATTAGTGATGCATGTTTTGGTTGCTAAACCAAATTCCCCTCATTTATGGAGGACATCAATAACAAGTAAGCTAAAAAAACTGCAGTGCAGAAGTAATACTCACAACATGCTTGAATCCCTCCTAATTGTGGAGAGGAGTTGAATTTTGTTAACCTGGGGTAGCACAGTAGACATTCAATTAATCATTCGTTTAGACTCGTAGGAGTAATGAGAAACTTAAAAACTTGTTTATTGGAATAATTATCTTTGTCTATGAAAACCTGCACTAGCTAATATTGCCTGAAATTGAGAGGTCCTTTGCATTTCTTCTGTGCCAATATTTTAATTGCATGCAATTCAAAGTTTGTTTTCCTTCATTTAATCTGTTTATGCTGGCAACTTCCTTCACTTTGATGATCTACATTAAGTTTAAAGTTATGATTTTTCCTCTGGTGATATCATGGTTTAACTAATATAATATGATTTTGACCAAAATTGTTTGGCACTTTTAACACATTTTATGATTTAAACACTTGATTTGATTTAGCATTGCTACATGGGTTGAAACTAAAACTGTTTCAAGAGACAAACTTGCTTCTACTGTTATTTAAGTGTACCAATCTGTAATGGTTTCTTTCAAATTGCAGCTTCCGACCTTGAAGATGACAGTGCACAATCTGTAATGGTTTCTTTCAAATTGCATTTGAAGAAATTCAGTTGCTTCTCATTATGCAGGTAGTCAGGCATATCTCATTTTATTTTGTGGTTTTACTCTTTCAGACACCAGAAGCACATGCTGCAGCATGGAAGACTCTGAGGGTAAGTGCACTAGTAATACATTTTATTCTTTACATGTTGTTGACAATTATATTCTTTTGCACCAGAATCACATGCCTAATAATGAGTGGCCTAATCTCGTATTTCTCTAATTATAAATCTTCCTTACATGTTGTTGACAATTATATTCTTTTGCATTATTAGGTTCTTGTATGCTCCACCTTATTAGCTACATGGAATTTATGAGTCACAAATTGGACATTACAGGTATATTGCATTACAGTATATTGGTCATCAATTTCATATAGGAATTAGGGTCTGTTTAGATTACCTCATTGATTTTTTTTATGAAATCCAGGCAATTGGACATTACTGCAATGAGTTACAGTCTTTGAACCTTGGATGGTGTGAACAAATAAGTGATGTAGGTGAGATGAGTTTAGCATATGGGTGCCCTGATCTTAGAACACTTGACTTATGTGATTGTGTCCTTATAACAGGTACTTCGTTCGCGCTATTTTCTATATACTCTATCCAATTAGTTAGTTGTATTGTTCTTAGTTTTTGTGATTAACAACAGTGCAAACATGACTCTGATGTTGTTGCTGCAGATGAAAGTGTAATAGTATTGGCAAATAAGTGTTCTCATTTGAGGTCACTTGGGCTATACTACTGCAAAAACATAACAAACAGATATGGGGAACTGTGAGTGGTGGAAATGATGAGGATAGTTTAAGGACTTTGAACATTAGCCAGTGTACATCACTTACTCCTTCAGCTGTTCAGGCTGTTTGTGACTCATTCCCTGCACTTCACAATGGTGCTTTGGTTGTGTTATTACATGGAATTTATGTTGAATAGTTCAAATTTAGATTTTATATGGTCCTTGGAAGGATTAATTTTAATTTAGTTAAACAATTTGGTTGTATTAATATTATTGAATTTGTTTTAGTTTTAAGAGAAATATGGTTAAAATGGATTATAATATTAATGTTATTGAATCTGTAAAATTCAAAAATAACCGACTTAATAATCCGAACCCGAATACAACCAAACCCGACAATCCGAAATTACAATCTAGTTAAAAACAGATTATAATATCCCACCTTATGAATTGGCCGATTTGAAATTTTGGGCCCAAACCCGAACCAGCTCAATCCGGTGCCTAGCCCTACTATATAGTCTTCAAGCATCATTGTATAAATGAACTAAAGTAACAGACACAACAAACTAATAAAGAGAGTGATATTTTAAATATAAACTTATTCATATTAAATTTACAATTATAAAAATTTAAAAGAAAAAATAAATTTATCTCTGTAAATAAAAATGAAAGTTCTATTAAAAAATCAAATCAAATAAAATATTAAAAGAAGTAACTAGTAAGTATGTTTTGAGGAATTTTAAGGAGAAGTAATTATGGTTTAAGGAAAATGTAAACAAATAAAGATTAATGAAAAAATTAAATACAATTATTCATTTCAAAGTCTATCAACAATCAATCAATAGTTTTTTTTAATAAATATCGAATATCTTATATATGTGTAATTGAGATCAATCTTTTTTTAAATTAAAATATCTCATGCTATGGATAATCAAATATAGATTATTGAAGATCCAAATTAAAAATTACAATTAAAGTAATAATAATATAAATAATAAAGATAATGTTAACTTTTGTTTCAAAGACATAAGTTAAAAAATTCATAAATAATAAATTTATATTAAAAAGAACAATAAAATTATTAATTATAAAATTATATTAAATTTATTATATAATTTTTTGAAAAAATTTATTATATTTATTTTTTAACTTGTATCTTTGGAACACAAGTTAAAATTATTCAAATAATAATCCGTTATTTTAAGTAAAAACATATTCACAAAATTAAATTAATATAAACAAATTGACTAACCAATAAATAAAAATTAGAATTCTTAAAAAAATAAAAATCAATAGAATGGAAATCAAAAGGAATAAAGGCAAACAAGCCAAAAAAAACCTAATACACGAATGAAACTGATATTTGCGTATTCTCTCTACACAAACAAACCTAAAAAATCTTAACTTTTTTCAATCTTCTTCCCAAGCTGCAAGATCATGCCACCACCTCGAGGTTCAATTCAATATTCATTCATATACAAACAATTTCCTTGCTTTTGTTTTCCTAATCATGTTAATTCACTATTGGCGATTCTCTTTGATACAGCGCTTCCAGGGTTCTACTTCGACGCAGAGAAGAACCGGTATTTCCCAATCAAAAACCCCATTCCTGGCTCTTCTTCCAAAAAACCTAAAATCACTGTTCCACAATCTTCCCCAACCGATCAGGTATTATGATAATTTCTCAATTCCAGAACAGTTCTAATGCTTGATTGAATTGAATTGAATTCCGGAACAGTTCTAATGTTTGATTATTTTAGTTTCTAGAAAAGAGTAAGAGTTCTTGTAGGCAGCTTCGTAACAGAACGTCTAAGCTGCTTCAGATTAGGGAGTTAGACGGTCGTCATGTTAGTGCTTCACATTATTGCAAGTGTAACTTCACTGAGGAGTTTCGGAGAATACGGACATCTCAGCCTACCGTATGTTAATTTCTTAGGTTTTTTGATAATGTGGTTCATTGTGTTTGAGTTGAGTCTAATTAAAGATTGGATAATGCAGATTTGGAAGTATCAAGGAACTGATAGGATGTGTATTAGTGCTTTAGAACACTTGAATGTTGATGTGCAGACACTAGAAGGTAGATTTCGAACGGATGTTTTATTGAGTGGAAGCATAAGTGGCTCGCTGAGGTAATTTTTAATTTTTGTTTCGGTTGTGTTTGTGTTAGTTTGCGTTTTTTTGACAAATTCTAGGACATTGGAAAGGATATCTTATTTAACCATTGGATTATGTCTTATATGAAGTGAACAGTTCTTGGATTATGATATTTGATTTTTCAAATTGTAATTTTGAGTATTGTGGCCCTCTTAGAATCGGCAGGATTTTTAGATTCTGAAATGGTATTATGTTCGATAGAGCTTTTGATAGTATTTTTAAGTTTCATGCATATTCCTCTATGCTTTACAATATTTGTTTCCCTGCCATGTTAAACCGTGAATCAATTTGGCCCTATTTTAGACTTCTTGGAAGACGAGTAGCTTTTGCAAAGAAGCGCCTCAAGTATTAGTTTTTATGCTGGTAGATTAAGAAGTTGGCGATGGTATATGTTTTCTATATGTTTTCTGGATGTGTCCTCTTGTGTTGTAAGCACTACTGCGATTTCACTTAAAATTAGCATTGTTGGATTAGCTTCTAAGCACTACCTTAAAGAGCTACTTTAAGCACTACTTTAAAGAGTTTTTCAATTGAAATAAATTTAGTGTTTCTGTTATAAAGTAAATTTAGAAATCGATCCTAGGAGATAAATTAAGATGCTCTAACATGATATCAATATATTATAAGATATTTTATTATATTCTAAGTTTCTAATAATTATATCATCAAAGTATACAAAATAATAAATTCATATCACTGCAAAAAAGCATTTGTGCTTATTACTTAAGTTAAACACTTTCAAGTAAAAATATGCCTGTCTGAGCAGACAGCAGAAATTAAGTCCGTAGTGGTAAATGAGGTCAAATAATACAATGCTCAATACAATAAGGAGTACATGATCTTCTATTATTGTCCCAGAGAAAGCAGAATTAGATAGCCTTTCATTGCATAAAGAATATTAAGAGATGGTTTGGTAGCAGTTAAGTTGATCACATACCTTACTTATGATACCCCTGACAGTTGATATGTTCTGTACTTCTGTATGTATTAATCATTTAGTTTGTATATTTCTGGTGAACTTTGATTGATTACAATTTACTAGTTGTTGCTTGTGAAGTTTGGTACTCGCAGTTTTTCTGAAGTTGGAAGGATTGGGCAAAATTTTAATGACGGGGTAAAGTGGATGCCATATTGTATGAAGAGTAATATTAAAGGAAAAGAAGATGGGCATAGCAAGGTGCCAGGGCCTCTTTTCAGACATAATGGAGCTTCGCTGCATATGTCCTCCAGAATATCTTGTATAAGATTGGGTCCAAATTTAGCCCCTAATGCTGCGAGTGATAGTCCAATTGTTGGAAATGCATTGTATCCTTTAATTTTTCTCTTCATTATTCATGCATGCATTCATTTATTTAAGGTTTACATTTTGTTATTTCCCTGTAAGCTCTACTTAAATATAAACATTCAATTGTGCATGCATTATAAAAATTAAAATAGAAAATCATGTGATCTTCAAGTGACTTCTTATCTTAGACAATCCATAAGATTGAATAGTCAAGATTAACACCTCTCAATTTTAGTTTTAATAATGGAGCATTTTTTTGTATAATCCTCTCTATCTGATATTGGGACATCCAATCCCACATACTTTGGACAAAATTGAACACGAAGTTAAAGATCTTAACACGCAAGATAGATTTACTACCCTGGGATCAGAAACATCTGGTGGATCTGTTTATACCATCAGTCTTGTTGAGCCAATAGATCTTGGAGAAGGAATTCTAAATACATGGAGTAGACTAGAGGAGATAACTTCTTTCATGTGTACCCTTTGGACAGCTGAGTACGACTATAACAGACATCGGGCTATAATTGGCAAGTTATATATTGCACCCCTATCTCTTTCCTCTTTTTTCCCTATCTTTCACACACGCACGCACACATGCTAAGATGCATACACTTATGCCAAATTATATTAAACTCTTGACAGCCCCACACATTTTGTACATAGTTTGGATCTAACTGTAGAGTTAAACTCATTGCCATGCAAGTATAGGATTTCTAATGTTCTCTTATTAGTTATTAGCACTTACTTTCCAATCCATGTTAGTTTTGATTAAGAGATATTCATTTTAGGCAATAACATGCATACTTTTCTTAATGGTTTAGCATGAATTGTAGATTATGGAGATACAATGTATGTTTCAGTTCACTGGACAGATTCATCATATTTTGGAATTTTTCATCATATTCATCTTGAAAATACTGTTTCAGTTCCTATCCATCAAATCTCTATGGTTGAGCTTCAGCTTTATAAAGTTCAGCATGGAATGATCTTGTATAGCCTGTATCAATAATATGATTGTGGATGACTTTTTTTCTGCATCTGTTATGTCTGCCTTTTGCTTTTATTAGGCTAAGATAGTGAAAAATGAGCCATTAGAGTTTGATTTAATAACTAAAAGTACTGACAGTTCTTAAGTTGGACAATTGTGATATATACCCTTTTTCTTAAGAAATACCCCTCTTAATTTTATATATAATCTTTTGTGAGATATTCATTTGTGTTTCTCTTTATCTTTCATAGGTACTAATCAGGGAGGTGCTTCGGTGGATCTGGAAAGTGGGACAAGGTCATGGTTTTTACGTTGTAAAAGTGATGTTTTTGCACAACAGATTGTTGATTCAGTAAGTTACCCATAGTAAAAATATTATCTGGTACATCTTCATCATCCTATCATTGGTATTTAGTGTACATTTTTATCATGTCTTCATGGAAATTTTGTTGAGTTTGATTAATGAATATGAACCAAAACGGATGGCTTGTATACTACTCATATCATATCATCAACCTGTTTTGCTATCAAATTTACCCCAAAATGCATAGACAGAATTATTTAACCGTTAATGACTCTTGGAAAAGATTGCTAACAAGGTTCAAAGGAAAATGTGGTGCTGAATATAGCCGATCGATATCTTCCAGTGGGGCTAAAGTTTGGTTGTTGTTATTGTTGTTGGATGTATAAAAAGGGCTCCTTTTTAGCAGTTAGACAATGTATTTGTGTTAAGGATGAGGAAGATCCACAATAATTTCCCATTAAGAGGCTTACATAAAGACGAGTCGAATGTACATATTTTTTCCTGGTTTTATTTCTCAGTTAGAAACACGGAGACAAACATTTGTTTCTTGGAACCTTAGATTACATGGAGTTTACTTCATAAATATGAAGAGAATGATTCATTTTAGTTTTATGATTCATGCCACGCCTTTGCATGTTGCATTCTTAAACTCTTATCTCTCAATCTCTGCACGCCCACCACAGACTCACAGTTTTCCTCTCTATACTTTTCGACATTTTTTGTCTTCCACTTAGTGAGATAAGGATTAGTTGTTGTTGTTGTTGTTTGTATACTTTTCAACAGTTTTGAAGCAACACTTTCATATCCATGCCATGAATGTAAAAATAAGGACAGAAAAACTCATTGTGGTTAATTAGTGTATTTTGGCAGTGAGTCAATGCTTGTATATTTCATGATTCTTTGTCCTTAGCAATGGGATCTTTCCATGGATTCTCTGGTGCAGAACTCATGAGTTACTTCCATTGATGTTCATATTTTTTTTTTCATTATGTGCGTTTTATATTTCTTTGATCATATGAACATCTTTCCCCCAGCTTACTTTTATTCCATCTTTCCTCTCTTTAATACAATTTATTCCTTTGAAATGTGATATTTGTTAGTGTCAATTAGTTTTTATGGTTTCAGCTTCCTAACAAAACCATGTGATGTGATATCTTTTTATAAATATTGAGTTTGTGACTTTTAAAGTATATTATTTGAATGATTTATTGTTGTTGCAGGGAAATGTGGTTTTATGTGGACTAAGAAATGGGGAAGTTGTCTCCGTAGATTTTAGAAAGAAAAGATTGCTTTCAAGTAGATTTCCTGAGCATAGGATATCATATGTATCTTCAGATAAGAGAGTTGGAAGTTCCAATCAAGGAGGGTTCAAGGTATTTTATTCATTTTTGAAATTAAGAATGAAAAATAGACAGAAGATTTCAAGAAATAATCAAAATTTACCTTAATAAAATATTGGAAAGATACAGAATGTGTAAAAATGTTTGCATTTCTTCATTATTCAGTGTTTAATGTTCTGGAGTAGTTTCTTACTTTCTTCTACATTTTGTGAATCCAAATTTAAACTCTGATATATGTTTTCTATTTTGGTGGAGCTTGTTATTTTTTGTTCTTATGAATGTATACTGCGTTCTTCAGTGACTTATGATTCACTATGCGAATCTTGTCACTATAGTTGATATGCTTATGCCCCTCTCATTTTCCAGCTTGCCGGAAACATTTATCCTTCACATACCATTAAGATGCCTTCATCTATATCCTGGTTAGTTAGCCTTTTCCCACTAAGTTGTCTACCTGACTTGTATCTTAATCGGATTGAATTATTTTTCGACTGTCTAATTTCTGTATTTTATTTGTTGGTTTGATACTAGTTTGGCATCACTTAAATATGACGACCAGTACTTCTTGGCAAGCTCTGTGGATGGATCGGTTAGTTTATTCTTGAGGAAACTTCTACTTATATTTATTGATAATTTGCTGCAGAATCTCATGTTTAGGCATTTGTGTCAATTCATTCCCTATTCCTTATATTACCTTGAAGATAAGTTTTAGGTATTTAAAGTGCACAAACCAAGTTTAATAGATCATACATAGTTGAGTGTTGCTAAAATTCCAAGCACATACCAAATCACTCTTTTTGATGCAACTCCTTCTATATTACTTGAACTGACAAGATGGCGATGTTGCTAAAATTCTCTCTGCAGCATGTATTTATTGCAGACTTCGTATAATGGGAGAAGCTACATCTTAATTACCTGTTGTTTTACTTTATAGATAAAGCTATACGACCGTCGCATGCTCCAGAGGGGTGCTGTTCAATCTTATGAAGGGCATGTGAATTCCCATACACAAATACAGCTCGGCGTTGACCCAGATGAGAGATATGTTATGTCAGGTGGATGTTATTTCAATGATGTTATTTGTTAAACATTTTTGTTTGAATATTCTGACTTAATCATCTCAGGTGGGGAGGATTGCAAGTTACGCATATGGAGTATAAAATCTGGCGAATTGCTTTTGGAGGATAAATTTTCTAATTCAGTTCTCACCACTGTGTGCTATCAATCATTTAAAAGTAATAATCACGACATGCTTTTTCCCTTTTCTGCTTTCAATTTTATATACCGTCGGAGTCATCAGAAAGCTCTTTTAGGGTGGTGGTTTTCTTGTCACTAATGTTGGAATGTGTTGTTTTTGTCTCTAGAGTTTAAAGCAGAGGAAGAAAACCAGTACACATACAATTCTTCTTTGGGTGCATGGCTTGGATCATATGAAGGGCTATTTTATATGGACTGGCAGTGAGTGTAAAGGGTTTTAGCATGGCATGATTAATAGCTTGTAGATATTGCTGATTCGGTTTAATTCCCTGTTAATTATTTACTTATTTGATTAGAGCTAGAATTTTGATATAGCAAGTAATGATATTTATTTACTAGTATTTACACATGCAGACAATGAAAAGGAAGGAGAAGGAAAAAGCATAATTTTGTTCTGGCTTTTTGGCATCAAGGTTTCTATGTTGACCATCTTGTTCATGTACTGAGATTCATGATTCATTATCATATACGTGTGTCAGCCATGGTTGCAGCTGAGACAACTGACTACTGAGTTGTTCACTGCCCACTGTATTCACACTTTTTAACAGTTCATCATGGCCCTGTCTTTGTTGAACGACCGACTGTGTGAAAGTAAGGAGAAAAACCTAAACTTTTTTTTAATGATAAAAGATGAAACTTAGCCCGGGGCAGGGATAAAAAAAGTTTATGTTGCTATGATGGAAGGATAATAAAATTAGAAAAGAGTTTATGTTGCTTTGATGGAAGAATAATAAAATTAGAGTAGAGTTTATGTTGCCATAAAAAAATTACAAAAAGTTGGGAATGATTCCACCTCAACACAAAAGCTACAAATTATATAAAAAATAAATAAAAATAAAAACTACAAATAATTTATTCAGCATAGAATTGAATGTAAAATAAAAATTACTGCAGAAGTCAAACATCACAAAAATAAAAAATGTCTGACCGTTGCAGAGTTAAGTTGGGGAATACTCGTTAAATCTTAAAGGTGAGTTTTTCGTTAAGTTGGGGAATACTCGGTAAATCTTAAAAGGTGAGTTTTTCTCTACATGAAAACCTTATTTCAAATTCTGAAGCTTGTCTGCACCATCTTGATTTGTATTTGTGGATAATAGAAATCAGACTAGCAATCTAATATACTTTGTTTTTCCACCATTCTAACATTGTTAGAACGTATTGAAGATCTTATGTCTACTAACTAATCTTGAGTTTAAGATGTTACCAAATTTAAGGACACGATGGCACATTGTTTCTAAGGATTTTCCATATAGTGAAACTCATATATGGAAAATATATATATATATATATATATATATATATATATATATATATATATATATATATATATATATATATATATATATATATATATATATATATATATATATATATATATATATATATATATATATATATATATATATATATATATATATATATATATATATATATATATATATATATATATATATATATATATATATATATATATATATATATATATATATATATATATATATATATATATATATATATATATATATATATTTTTTTTTTTTTTTTTCTTTTCAAATAAAGAGAACAAGATTGTAGAAGAAAGGATAACGAAAGGGAGTAAAACCCTGAACGTATTGTGATACCGTGATACAAATAAGAACTAAGAAGTAGGTAAGTAACTATGTCATTTATTGATTCATTCAATTAAAGAATCCAAGAAAAGAGTATTTATATTATTAGAGTTAGGTGAGAGGAAACAATGTAACCAATTCTAACTAACTATGTAATAGAAAGTGTGACGAACTCGAATTAGAAATTGTGTTTGATTGTTGATGATGGATTCAAAATGCAGTGATGTTAATCTTTGATTCGGTGGCGAGGGAGGTGGACCTGTAACATTAACATTCCAACATCTAAGTCAGTTATAGAATTTAAGATAAGTGAACTGAAATAATGAGATTAGAAAAGTTGTACCTTAAGTTTCACATGTGTTGATTATAAGCGTATAATGTTTATAGGGTTTCGCCTGGTTGAGCTGGATATTTGGATCCCCGTAGTGGGCCTTTGGCCGGTTCAAAATAATTGCCCTCAAGACTTGTCAGGTGTTTTATCAGTCAGGAAGTCTTTCAAAGTTGCAATCGAACTTTGTTACCAAAGCCGACCATAGGGAGAAATGGGAAAGCCATGGGACAATTTGCAAAAGTAGTGGGGAGCTAATGCATTAATCGCATTTCTCATCATTGAGACGTTTTGTCGATCTTTCAGGCATGTGGTCTTAAGCTCGCAGGTTAGGATGTGATGATCTTTTCTAGGAAATTCGAGTGCACTTGAGTTTGCTTGTGTTCTCATGGATTGTTTGAGCGATCACTTTTTGTCTTTCCACTTTCTCCTAATCTGGACCGTTATGGATACCTGTTCCACCATAAAGAGCTGAATCAATTTTTAAATGTTCTTTTCACTTCACTTTCTATTTGAAATATATCTTTTTCCCTAAGCTCATTTTCTTCTTCTCAGCGCCTTTGTCTTCCTCGAGTTTGTCTTCTATCCCCAAGGTATTTTCTCCCTCCTTTCTCTACCATTATGGTCCGCTTAAGAAATGTACACCTAAACACGACGCCCGAACCTGACAATGATGAGTCTTTGTTGTCTATTAGTGTGGAGGATCTGGACCTTGTGGACATTCTCTATGGGCTGGATCCTCCCATCCATGCCCAAAATGTGTCAAGCAGTAGTTCTGGACTAGAGTTGGACTCTTTAGAGTGACAATGATCATGCAGTGAAGGAAATCGCTACTCGCGTCACGTAACCTCTTTTGCTTGAGCCAATTTTGATTTGGTTATAACCCTTTATAGGGAGACAAAATTCAAGTATGGTTAACCAATATGATTATTTTCATGATACAAAAACATATTTGGTTCGACTCAAGAATTTGTTGGAGCCGACCGACACAAATCATTCTAGCTGGGTAGATATTTTATTTCAGGAGAATAATCTCCTCCTATACTCAAGATGGTGCAGTCGGACATGTAAATATTGAGGTAGGTCCATTTTCCAATTGGTTGATTTATCACCTTACCAACTAAAGGATATGTAGCAGGTTTGAGAGGTGCTATATTCCCTTTTATGACTATATCTTCCAAAAATTATGCATAAGGCTGACCCTGACCGTTTTCGAGAAGGTGTTTGATCACCTACTCATTGCCCCTTCTAAACTCTATCCAGTGGTTTAGGCTTTTATCAAAGTGTTCCACACTACTACAAATGATGCTTATATCGTCACACGCGAAAGAGATGTAACAACCAAGCCGACGTAATGAACGGTGACATGAAAAGTTGCCACCTAACACCTCGGTTAATGAAAAGCCGAGGATAAAGTTATATGATCATGGGTTTGAACCCCAACATCTGCATTTTTATTATTTACACAAACAGTGCCTCAAACCTCTCGATTTATTTAAAAATCGAGGGGTTAGATATTTTTAAAAAATAAATAAATTCATTACATTGTTTACACAAAATATTAATAAATTAATTTTTTTTACAAACTACATTGTTTACACAGAATATTACATTGTTTACACAAAATATTACATTGTTTACACAAAATATTAAAGTAAAAATGTCGTTCTTCATCGTCATCGCTATTGGTGAAGAACAAATGCTGGATATTTTGGAGAAGAGAAAATGTTGGGGATCCTCGTCTCGTTGATCTTGAGGAAGAACAAATGTTGAATGCAATATATTTTCTATTGCTTTTGCATTCATTTGTTTCTGATAACAAAAAAAAAGGTTAGCTAAATATAATAAATATTAAATTATATGATTATTTACGAACACAAACCTTAAACTCAGATAATTTTCTGCACTTGCAATCCATCGCTAATGAAAAAAGTTAAAGTGGAGGATGTAGATAGTTTCAATCGCCTCGTGACGTTTCTTTATCAATTTTAGATATCATAAAGCCTTTATAATGGAAATTTTTTAGGAATCGCGCAGATCACTGATGGTATTTTCTTGAGCGTCGATAATCTTGAAATGAACGAAAAACATTTGTTTAAGAACGCTAAGTTATTCCCTCGGTTTCTATAAAAACCGAGGTGAACATGTTTTTTAATTACATTGTTTACACATAATATTGAAAAAAATAATACAGTAAAACCAGAATTTTGATTTAAGAAGTTACCTCATCCAAATATTGCACTCGTCCAATTTCTAAAAGAGTTACATGGTCCCAACATTGAGTGCATCCAACTTCTATTGAAAAAAAAATATTTTTTTGCACTTGCAATACATCATAGAGAATTTTTACAAGCTTCTAAATACAACAACAACAATAACAATAACATCAACCCATTCTGTGAGATAGATCCTAAAAAAATGATGTGATTTCTACTTCTAACGAGTTTGGAGCGGCTACATATAAGTTACTATTAGGGTAAAATCTATCTAGTGAGTGCTTTTATAGTAAAATGTTACGCATATTATACCTCGTTTATTAGGGAAACTGACGAGGTATATAATTTAGTTTACAAAAAATTATAATAAATAAAAAATAGTTTCCTAATTGTTTTTCCCCTCGGAGTTTTTGAAAAACTGAGGTAAAATGTGATTTCTATATCTAAAAAAAATCACGCCGCGCATTGGAATCATATCCACTAGAGTAGCAATGATCATCCATATTAAAAAATATAACGTATTTTTTGGATTTTCAAGGCATTTTAGCTTCTCTGATTGTTTCGCTTCCTATTCTCATCTCCACTTTATTTAAACATTATTCCTTGTTCCAACGTCTCATTTCCAACTCTTCGTGTCTTTAAACCTAGTTTCAAAGTCTTTTCTTTTCTTCAAAAATGTCTTCAACAACCTTAGATGAAAATCTTTTGTTTGCAATCAATGAAAAGTTTGTTGATTTCGATGATTTGAAAGACAAAGATTTTGATCTAAGGAAAACTATTTGCAAACAAAAGTTGAACGATTACTTTGACATTCTTAATGGACCATCTACATTAATCTCGTTAAATAGTTCTGGTTAAATGCCTCCGTTGGGCCATCTGGTCATGATGTTGAGTCAATCTAGTCCTATGTCAATGGCTTTCCTGTCACAACTACTTAGTCACTTATTGCTTAGACAATAAAATGTGAAGAGGAAGGTGTTTGTGTTAAACATTATAGAATCAACAATGTCTATAAAAATCACCTCCACCTAATTTATGCAACCAACGATAA